ACATTTACGAAGTTTGAGTTCTAATGACTAAACATGTAAATATGTATATGCATGGAAATCGGCTCTTCTCATCAGATTGTGAGCTTTCAGGCTAATTCACTTGTATATTACCGTCAGTAAGAGTTCTCAAGAGATATGTTTCCAAGCCGACCGTGCGAGGGTGACACTGCACCTGGGCAGTAAACCGCATACAATCGATCTTCAGAAAAGAACGGGTAGCCCAATGCAAGTTGTGTATTGCAGTCGAATAGGAATACTGGAAAGTTATTGATGCATTAATAATGTTTCATTGGTTTTCTTGAATGCTTTCTTATACGAAATGTAAATGTAATTTTTGTGAGTGTCGAGGCTGATTGTCAAAAGACTTGGAAGTTGATGTTCTTGCCACGGCACTCAGTGTAGCCGTCTCCCTTCCCCGTGACATCAGCCGAGTCCAGAGATTCCCCGTGCGAACTCCATCACTGGAAATATTCGATACATATCCTAGCCGAGAAGTTATCCGGAGTTTTCCATTGTACGACTGGTATTTAAGATTATTTCCCAAAGAATGAAATGATATCCAACAGTTTCGGAAACGCCTACCATTAATGAAACTCGCACTTTCAATGCACACCGCATCCTATGAATGACTCCACAACCTATGAGTGGCCAGTAGAGATGAGTGATGAAAAAAATCGTATAGAAAGAGTTGTTTTTTTAGATACACAGCTCTGATTGCGACATACCATATGTATTGTTACACTATATTGGGATTAATTTCTTGAGTGGAATAATCACCGAAAAGAGGTTTTTATCTGCGATATCTTGAGTGAATTTCCCCTTATCGTTTCGTGTTGTAGACAATTTTGCTTTATCGAAGTCTTATACTCTAATACAGACAAGTTGGAGAATACACGTTCATTGAATACTTTCAAAGGGTTTCCTTTATTTTTCCGTGTTGGATTTACTGGACATTACTGATTTACTATAGTTACATTAGAAATGACTTTCTGACGAAAGTATTCATTCAAATCCACTTCCCGTGAATTTTTGTTTATTACGAAGTAATGGGAAAACATTTGGTATATTGCTTTACGTGGAAATGAATATTCGTGTTAAAGTATCGTAATTTGCCAAAATCTAAAAAACGTACAACCCCCAAAACCTTTCAATTAAGTAAATGAGTGTTTCGACAGAAATGATCAATTGCCATATGATCGACGGAACCGGTGATTGGGAAGATAGTTTCCATTCCTGCAGGATGTCATAAACTTGATGCATGGTTTTAACATTGAGTTTGCGGTACCTGCAGTGATCGATTTCGTGGCCCGACTGCTCTGTTCTTGGTTTCCGTGGTGTTCCAGAGTCTGGTGTTATGCTGGAGCAGCACCTTACACAACGGACCGCGCGCAAACTTTCCGATTCCGTCCTTCCCCGTCCCCACACTTCATGGTGGTAGAGAAAACAGTCAAATCGAATTGTCAGAAAATATTCCATTGTGTTAAAATAACATTCTGGAATCATGTAGCCTCTTTGGCATTAAGATCTGCATTTTTTCGTTTCTAATGACATATTACCTCCATTCTTGATCAAGGAGGTCTTTCAGGTGTGTTTTGCAGGTAACATGGCGTTTCTGTTCCCTGATTTCTAATTTAATCCATTCACAATCAACAAATTTTGCAGATCTGTAATATGTGGTGGCTTATTCGTAGTAGGGTAGTGGCACCAGCTTTGGCTACATTCAAAGAAATTGTTGTAATTCAGCCAGTTTCATAAAGAGTTGGATTTGAAATTGAATATTGCTCCAGCACTATTCTTTAAACATCAGTTTGCATCTTTCCAATATGAGAATAAGATTTCCGTATTTAGAAAAACATATTAACCCTTTCCTCCATGTTTTTCTTTCCATTTGCGTTCAAAACTCACGGTATTTCTTTACCAAGTTGTCACAGATACAACTCAACTTGCACAACAGTCATACCTTTGATTAATGTAGGCAAGTGAATACTGTCCTAGTAAATTCTGTCATTATTAGATCTTTAACTGATACTTTTTCCTGTTATGTTATTTACTTAGGAGGGTATTCTTTTACATCACCTACACCTTGATAAGTTATTTTATATTGTCATCAAACATTATTATATGATGTACCTTGTCAGTGGAACAAAACACTACAGCAAGCTTTTTATCAGTTAATTACAGAATTAAAATTATTCAAGTTCATAATTTTAAATGTTGTAAATTTTATCTTAAATATGTATTTATGTGAAACAGATGCAATCTAGTAGCTCTTCCCAATATAATGTTTCCAGATTTTCACAGTATACTGTTTATTGATTATGTAAAACATGTTAACCGATAGAGGCTTGATCTCAAAATTGTTCAAAGTAGCCCTGCTTGCCCACTTCGCTGGTATCAAAACTGAAAAAATCTAACAATTCAAATGTGGTAGGTTTTGGATCCAGACTTTTCTGAATTGTTTTGTATCTAGTTGGTTTCTTGTGATCAGTGTTTCAATAGGATCTCATTTAAACATTCTTCTGCTTAAGGTTTTGTTGTTTATTCATAATTGAATACTCGTTCAAAGATTTGGTCCAACAAAATCACTTTTGAGTAGATTCTCTCGTGAGCAGACTGAATGAGTATTGCTTTAGCGATTTATGCTCCAAGCGCGCATGTTTCAGTTCTTAAGTCTTCAGCACTGTTTCTGAGCTATATCCAAAATAGACAAGTCCTGATTAGACACTCCTTTAATAATAAATTAGTGGTGGTACAGAACGACACGGACTATCCCGTACTAGTTTTCTATTTCCTTTGGTCTCAGTTAGCTATTCGGTCATATTCTTGCCTGCTGCAATCTATCACCGCCCAAAGCTCCTTTTTTCGACATTTTATTAATTTTTCGGCTTCCTAATTGTAGAGCGGAAATATTATTTTAAGATTATTAAAGAACAGTAAAACCTCGTCCTAAATGGCAATTTTCTTGGTGCCCAAAATGGCAACAAAAAAAAAAGGAACAGTTTTTAAAAAACTGGCGTTTAAACGTTACTGTAAATTCGAAATTTGCAGCTGTTTTTCACAGCAAACTTTCGAGTTTTCGAAAAACTTCATTGGAAGTATTTTGAAGTACATTAACTCGCAAATACAATAGTATTTACAAATTGCTATAAATGTTGATATCGACGGTGTGAGAGATTTTTCCAAAATTTTACATTTGTGTACTTTTTGAAGAAAAAATATACCGAAATTAACTTTGTCATATAAAACATTGCAATTACCAGTATCCGTTCGCAGTGTCTAAGGAAAAAAAATTGGAGCAGTTTTTGAGAAAATGGCGTTTGAGCGTTTCTCGAAATGCGAAGTTTTGAGCTAGTTTTAACAGAAAACTACTGTTTTGAGAAACTTGGACATTCTTTAAAGCAAATGTACTCATAGATACAATAATGTGAACAAATTTCCTCTAATATAGATATAAACGACACGAGAGGCAAGTAAAAAAATTACATTTTTGTATTTAAAAAAACAATAGAATAGAGCAATATGACGTTTTTCATATTATAGAGTACATTTAGCACTATTCCTACCAAAAGTATAAAGAAAAAAATTGCAGCCATTTTTGAGAAACTCTTGTCTTTGTAATTTTTAAATTACACATATTGCACGCTATATTGCATGAAAACTACTAAATTTTTCAGAAAAATGTACACGACTTTAATGAAAGAATTCACTATGGAGGACAAATTTTATTTGAAGGAAAAATCTCGATACTCAATTTTGTAGTTGTAGGAAGACCTCCGAAAAATTTTGAAATTTTCGAAAATTCAGTGCTAAATCTGAAAATCGGACTTATGCCATCTTTATAAGTTTATTTTACTCAATTCTTACAAGAAACTTAAAGAAGATATTTCGGGCCGTTTTTAAGAAAATTTTGAAATGTCCTGGGGTTCATGTAAAGTACCCCCAAATTTTAAGATTTTTTTTTGTTTGTTTTTCAAAATCTCCATGATAGGACTAGCCAGATTGACGCAGGTTTTTTTTTTCCAATTTGGAAAAAATACTACGCATGATTTAGGCGCTAGTAGAGTCCATAGATGTCGGACACATGGTCGTTTTGGGAAGAAAAATATAGAATGAAAAAATAACTTTTTCGGTATTAGGGGACTTCAAAACGTGTATCGAATTCGATTTACCGCAGCATTACAAACTTTTCTTATACTACGTATACGGGAAAGAAAAAAAATTGAGTTTTTAGTATTAACAATCAAATATAGGTACATTCTGTTTTTATTAATAATAATTTTCGTGCTTAATGTGATATGTAAGTTGCAATTATTTATATGCAAATGCCTTCTTTAGTTTTTTTTATATTTTTCACTTCTCTATTATATTAATTAATTAAATTTAATGTCTGAATTTAAATTTTTTCGTTCTTTTAAAGAACTAACTTTATTCAGACTGTAAATTTGAATTTGATTGCCAATAGTACACTGTAGGCTTCAATTTGGAATGTTCCACATCATTGAATACCAAGAGTGCAACATTTAAGATAAAAATTCATGCCTTTTCTTCCCGATTTTTTGTATAAATGTACTATCAAAGTAAGAAGTATGTTTAATTGCATTGTAGAAAAATTGTTTTCTCTTGAAATATCATACACTTCTGGTCGAAACTTAAGCCACAAATGCTGATTCCGTAATTACTCCTAAGTTTACATATACTATGGTCATTAAATTGAAGTTTTTTGTTTCTCCTAGGTAATATTTATTGCAGTTTTTGACAGTTAATTTTGCCTTCCCGATTATTTTTTTCTTTGCTACTTTCTGGAGATTTAAGAAGTTCTTTTGTTTAATGTTTTCAGGTTAGTTTTTAATGTTGTTTGTTAATGTACTAGGTTTTTTTTAGTTTGGAAACAATGAAATAATTATGAATTGTACAAATAATGTGGAAATGGTTTGAAATTTTGGGTTGTGAAAACTGGTTTCTAATTTATTTATCTTTTAATAAAATATTTTCTGTTCCAGGCCATGGTAGCCTGTTATCCAGGGAATGGAACTCATTACGTTAAACATGTTGACAATCCAAATAAGGATGGACGGTGCATCACTGCCATTTACTATTTGAACAAGGATTGGGATGTAAAAGTAAGTCAAAATAGTGTCTTATTAAAATACTATTGCTTGTGATGTGGACTCGGTACAATGTAAGTAATAACAGCATACAAACGATTGACTCAACTGTATACTCTACGTTACAAAAAGTGGTTTCTTTAATAAAATGCAGAAGATTTTTTTTTAAAATTAATGTTATTTATTTTGTTTGCAAATCTCTTTCAATGAGCCATAGAATTATATTTTATATACTACAATGTGGATTTCTTGAGCGTAGTTTATCATGCATTTCAATGTTATTTTGCATTCAGGCCAAAGAGTGATCAGAATCATATTGATTTATTCTACCAAATGTTTTTTTCCAGTTTATTACCGGGGGACAGAACCCACTTTAAGTCCCCCACCCCCAGAATATCTCCCATATTTCAATTAATGTTTCATATTTAAAATGTGCAATTTTTAAACAACACTCTAATTATTGCTTCTGTTACGTTACCAGTTTTTTTAACAAATCTGGGGGCGCTGTTTAACATAACTAATATAAATGAATATCCACTAACTAAATAGTAAATACTTAATTGCGAGAAATTGAAAAGCTTATATCCGAAGAGACGTATCTCCATTTCCTTTAGTTCTACGTATCAATATATTCCTAAAGACTCTTCTGCATCGTGCTGCTAAGTATTGTGTTCAAAACTTTCGTTTCTCCTACCCTTACCCTTCTTTCAATGGTAACCGAAAACAGTTGAATACGACTTTGAACTACAAGGCTGAACAAGAAAACTTTCCCTTTCTGAATAATTGTAATGGAAATTGGTATATGTCACTTTGCACTTGCGTTGATTTGATAGCATTAGGCAAACAAATAATTGCTGTGCTTAACCCTTTCACGCCCAAATTAATTTCGTGCGCAGAGCGCTCGCTCGCCCGTTGTCACGTCCGTGCGCGCGCATGTGGGAGCTCTGTGGTAGATTGTTTTTGCTAAAGTATTCTATTAAGCTCTCCGAAGCGCCAACAGCTGGTTATATAAACATGAGAATGAATAACTTGCTTGTACAAGTTTCGTTTGCCTATATCTATTGAAGAAATAAAAATCGCAATTTATTACAAAAGAAGCAAATTTGAGTTGACCAGAAATGTGCGTTCTCAATGTGGGCGTTAATGGGATTAATGTATGCAATTTCTCTCCTGGCTTACGATAATTCAAATCAGTCTTGGCACATGTTTCTCTATGTATGCCTGCGTATAAGATGCGCTGAACCCGAATCTCAAGCCAGAATTGCGCGACCACCCTCCAGTTCTTTTTGTACATCGCGCCCTCCCCCCTGTGATTTTTTTTTTTTTTTTTTTTTTTTTTTTTTTTTTTGTTTTCGGGTGTTGTCAGACCCAAAGACTTGCCACGATTCTCCATGTACGTCGACGCGCAGAACCTGAATGTGAATCCGGAATTGCGCCATCTCCCTCGAGTTTTTATTCGGGAAAAACCACCATGAAATTATGAATTATTCGGATAACCTCTGTATCGACAATTAATGAGAATCAGCGTCGGGATCTGCTTTCTTGTCAGTTCTGTCTTTTCCATAGCCAGCCCAAGATCGTGTTCTTCCTTGTGGTACATCTCCAGAACCATTAGGATATCGGTCCATTTAGTCGAGTTGAATGCGTTCCGCACGTCTACTGTTGCTAACTGCACTATTTTGCGGAAGTGCTGGTTTACCTGCCGTGTGTCCTCAACGGCTTCCACTACAACTTTGGCTGCGTCCACAGTAGATAGACCAGTCCTGAAACCGTACTGTCTACCCAATAGGTTTCCGCTAACGCGAATCGCAATCAGCAGGCGTGGTTTGAGCAACTTTTGAAGTAGCTCCCCCGCCCGTGTCGAGCAAGCAGAGGGTATGCAGGCCGATGGTAGGTGGAGTCCCCCTTCCCCTTGTCCATTAGCTTGGAGCGCTGCATTATCCTCGCTGCTCCATGTTGCAGTTTTTCAATCGGTATGGATTCATCCAACTTGTTGACATTCCAGCCCGGTTTTCTGCTTCCGTGTTTCAGCCGGTGGGAGCGCCCTCCCAGCTACAGACAAAGTGTGGTGTACTGGTGGTCACTGCCTGTGTAGTCCTCGAACCATCTGTCACCCTGGCTGCGAGCTCTCCAGTTACGACTGAATGATATTCTGAAATGTTTCCGTGTATCCAGGCCGTCTGAACGTAGGGATGAGTCCATCAGTTAGGACACAGGTCTTGTCTAGCCGCCATTCCAAGAATCTTCCCCTAGTGTTCGACGCCGATGTCTAGGCTTATTTTCGTGCAGTACTAGTGTATCCCCTCGTTGGGAGTCATGTAGCAGCTCAGTGATTAACCCGCTTTTTATCCAGGTAGCGGACCCGTGACTACAGGGACCTTGGCGGCGTCAGTGATCTATACAGCTGGGATGCCTAGGCTGTCAGGGTACCATTCCGGGCTTTGCTGGTTTCGGCATGATTCGCTGATGATCATTGCCAGAGTCGTCAGTAGACTTGCACGTACCGGAGCCCGGAACGTGTTCCAGACCCTGTGACGCGATCCCTTTTTCGGCGCATAAGACGCAATTCGGGAGTCTCGCGGTGATGTTTGGGTCGTTATACCCTTCGTCTATGCATTTTTGGCACGTGTTCTTTCGATCCGGGCCTCTGCAGTCTCTGCAGCCCCGCCCTATCGTAGGCACCTACAGCATCGAGCGACGACTGTGCGCTTCCTCACTCGGCAGTCCACCCACCGCACTCTGATTTTCGTTTTTTGGAAGAGTATGCTTGCCTTTTTCTCGTCCAGATCGAAAACTCGAATCTTTTGTCCCCCAGTTGTTTAGACAAATAATCACAATTTTCAGCTGGGAGCAGGTCCTTGTCTCTGGAGGCTTTCTCGCACCTAACTCTCCGTGTAGGGGTCCACGTCGCGAATATGGTATGTCACACGTGGAGTTCGTTGCTGGACGCTCCCTAGGGCCTGCTTCAGGGCATTGCCGAATTGCTCGACGTTTTTGTCCTCTTGTTCAGTTCGACGAGGGCAACTCCAGCTCTCATCTTTCTGACGGATCCAATCTGTCTTCAGGGTTGATCTTGATTTTCTCGAAAACTTGTCAGTCTTTCTTTCGGCTGGTCTGATGATGGCCGCGTTTCTTCTTGGCTTACTGCGTTTTTTTCTTTTTCCTCCAGTTGCCGTTCGATGTTTTCCGGCTTTTTCCCGTTTGTGAGAGCTGTACGTGTTCTGCGGTCTTGGCCTAATAAACATTTTTTTTACTTCTCCACCAGGAACTATTCTGTTAAATCCTTTGTTCTCTGCCTCCTTTGTGTGGCTTCTTCCTGGGCACGCTACATCGTCGCATTCGGATCGCACGGAGCCTGCCGCAGCTTTACTTTCCTTTTTTATTCTGCTTCCGGTTCTCCATGCATCTCGTGACCTTTCTGCTCTCGTGCGTGAAGAGTATTCTCTCGAAGCTGGACAAGGCTGCTTTTGTCTTCCACTGACATTTTCTGCTTTTGGGTGGCCTGCTGCACTCGAGTGACAACCGCCGCGGTATCTTTAGTAACCGCTATACTGGTTCAAAGAAAGATGTCCAATTTGTCACTCGTCCATATACGCGTGAATCATAGGTACAAGTCTGCCGGTACATTTTAGGACCTCCCGTGATTCAAATGGCCGCCATAGCGAAATAACAATTTTTTTAAAATTCTTGTCGTGTAAAAAAACATAGTTAAGTGTTAGAAAATAATTGTACAATCTTAACATCCATAAAAATTGCCCATGGTTGATTTGCAACGTTTTATGAAAAATTAGAATAAACATAATTTATTGAAAGAAGTAAAATGCAGTACTTTCAGATAGTTACATAGGCGAAATGAAAAAGTTACACATTTCACAAAAATGGTAAACTGAACTGAGAGAACCTTTCTTTTCCCTTTTTACTAGTGTGTATACTGAGCTGAAAAGGATCACATTCCTTAAGAAAGATGCCATTTAGAACTAGAAAGAAACGAATTAGTTGAAGAAGGAATATATTCCAGGAAATATGCTATCTGTTCATCTCAAATTCTCAATAACGCAAAAAGTTGCTGGTGGTGTTAGTGACCACGTTTGTAGCTTAACTGTATAAGAACAGGTTCAGGTTCATTGTCCATAAGAGGCGTACAAAGAAGTTGTTGGAGGTTAAGTGACTATCTAAATTCAAGCCTGATGTTGAGGGAATAATTTTTGACGAAATGCAAAACTTCCCTTAACATTTTTCCCAATTCAACAAATATTTTACCTAAGACACTTCTGGTTCTACATTTTCAATGTATTCATAATTTAAAAAGCAATATGTTTAATTGTAAGGGTGAGGGAAACGAAGGACCAAATGTCGTTTCTTCAATGGTCTTCAATTTCTTAAAAGTTGCATTCCTGTAGAAATACAGGAGATTCATGAATTTAATGGTGCCTTCGGGAGGCAAAAACAAAAGCACGCATCTAGAATTCTGTGCACTTTTGAGTATGATGAATAGTGCAAGGAAGTATATTAGTACAACTCTTGTAAGTGGACATAGTTTCACGCGATGTGATAGGACCTTGGTGCGTGAAATCGGGCGGCATGACCGCGTATATTCTCCTTATCAAAACAAGGCAATGATCAAAAGGGCCAGAAAGACTGAACCTACTTTTCAAGTAAAATAAATTCGGTGTAACACTTTTGTGAAATTCAATAAATGAATGATGGCAGTATTATGTGAAAATACCAGCTTCAGTGTGGCATACAACTCCTTCACACTCTGGCTATCTAATAAACAATATAGTTAAAGAATTAGCTGGTACTCATTCCCCATGAGCTTAGAGCAAGTCTTTTTTCGACATATTTACAAAATTGCGCAGTGCAACGCTGACACATACAAGCCGCCATACTTGCATTTCCGTGTTTCTTCTTAACACTGGCTAACTTCTCAAAAAGTTTTAGCTTTGAGCTTATAGTACATGGATTTTCTTGCTGACTCCCGGTCTATGAAGGGACTAATAACTTAAATAGTTGATGCTTCGGGAATCAATCGATATGAAAGTTGTGACCTCTGCATGAGGCCTTGTTCTGGAGAGAGTAAATATGGTTTTGGTGCAATGATCTGCTCACATAATTGTTGTGCCTCTGTTAGGAGATGCAATTGAAAGATTATTCATTATATTCGCAGACTCTTTTTCCATCTTTTGTCGATTTTATTTAAGTAGCTGTTCCCAGTTCAGTGAACATGTTTATCAGCGGTTTTACTTGTTTTTTTAGCTTTAGGACCACGCAAACTAAAAGGCTTCAAATGCTGTACTAACATCATTTGATTTTGAAGTGCTTGAAGTAATTTTCAATGAACGTATGTAAAATTATAAGACTTCCCGTAGCCACAAGGAGTAGTTCTCAATAAAATACATGCTGCTTATGCCTCGCAAATTTTTTCCATCTCTTGATAATGAAATGACAAAATTTCTAATGTCAGTTTTTATCAGACTTACTGAAGTGTCAGTAATATTCTTCACCTAATTTGTGAAAAACATGAAAGTATGCCATCACACCTTGCCTCTGCTGAGCTTTCACGCCAAGCAAATAATCTCCTCTGAGAAATTGAGCGCTCTGCTGCAAAAAAAAAAAAAAAAAAAATTCTTCAGTGCACAGGTATGCACAGCTGACCTTTTAAGATTTAGATAGCCCAAAGAACATGGTTTAATGTCTATACAGTCGAAGGTCAATGATCGTAAATTTTGTATTAAAAGCTTAATTTTTTAAAATGGCATGAAAATAAATTAAAGTGACTCACTTTTTCAAAACACCCACCAGCAATCAAGATAACCTTTTGCTTATATTGAGGTATTAATAAAAGTAAAAAATATGAAAACAAAATTCGTGAATGACTACGTTGATATGTGTACCAGTTGATGCACGCTGGTTTCCGACACGAAATATACTGAAATATAACTGTGCCAATGAGGAGACAGCCTGAGATGTGCATGCTTGAATTTGTTGTACTGCTACCTCAAGTGATTCAGAAGAAAATCAAAACTTATTTTATGTACTATGGACCTTTTAAAAATAAAAATTTCGAGCTAACTCTTCTGAATACATTAGAAAACGGACTTTTTTCCACCTAGGTGACAGTTATCCAGTCGGATCTTGAACCCTAGGGACTTGGAGGCAGTCTGAAACCAGTGGTAGGCCTAACCTAAGCAGTGGTAGATTTTCACCAAAACTGCTGATCAATGGGGCTGATGTTCTGGCTTCATGAATTTGAAACCGATATTTTATTTTTTGACCCCCTAAACCCTTTCACCAAAAATAATGAAAACATATTAATATTATTTGCATCCATTATTTATTTAATCAATGGGATTACTTGATTTACTTCATTAATGGGGAAATGTCTCATTTTAAATATTAATTTATCAGCATACAAAATATTTAGTAATAATAACATTATCTGGCTATGTGGGAGGGGGAGAATAGCGGATGGCTCTGTGGGATCTTAAACATTTTCCCTTATTGTCCCAAAGAATGTTAGATTACTTTCACTTAATTCTGCTCTGGACACACTTAATTATTTTTCCTGACGGAACATTTATCTTATCCACCATGTTTCTGTCGTCTGATATTTCACTTGATAAGTTAGTATTTCTCACTATTTGTTTTGTAGCAAATGCTGAATTATTGCATTTCAAGTGACAATTTGTGGATGAAATCTATACGAAGCATTTTCTCATGGACGTATGAAAAGTGGTTTAAACAGTTTTGACCTTCAATGATGCCTGCTGCGGATATCATTTGATTTCAAGTGAAATGAATTCTATTGCACTATTCTTGTTGCTCTGTGTATATAGTGTACATAATTAATTATTGATTTCTTTTTTAGAAAAATGGCGGACTTCTTAGAATATTTCCTGAAGATTCAATTAATCGCCAAAAAGTTGCTGACATCGAACCATTATTTGATCGTATTCTTTTTTTCTGGTCAGATAGACGTAACCCACATGAAGTACAACCTGCTTATGCAACCAGGTATAATAAATAATATTTATTTTATTTGAAATATGCTTATAAAAATTTATTTTTGCTTTGTGGATGTTAAAATCAAAATTTAGACAATCTAATTATTCCTAATTAATGAAAATAGGTTAGTGTTCCTCATTAAGAGAGGTCTTTAATTTTCTGTTGCAATGGTCTTTAATTTATTCTATGCTGTACATTAATTCAATATTTACTCACTATTGTATAATGAAAGTTAATGTTTTCGACAATGTTGAAACAGCTTCAATTTAAAAGCCAGGGCCATGATATTTTTATAAAATATCATTGGAAGTAATCATTGATTGACTATCATATTTGTTTCTTTTAAAGTGTTTCAAAAAAGTGTTCCTTTTAAAGCATTTCAAATTTTTTTAAAATATTTTTTTAACATCTTAATTGTTTATTTGGATTAACAAGGATGAAATAAATGTCTTGGAAAAAGTTTTTCTCATTATTTGGTATTTTTTGGGTGATAGAGTTTTAAAATATTGGATGCAAATCATTAAATTCATTACATAATACACATATGCTATTTTAGAATACATTTGATAGTTTTGTCTGCCCAAAATTCTTTTAGGAACTTTTCGTGAATTTTCTCACTTTTTGCTCTTTACTCAAAAATACTGCAAATTAGACCTTGAATTTTGAATTTCATTGTTCTAGATACGCCATCACTCTTTGGTATTTTGATCGTGCTGAACGGAGTGAAGCTTGCCGAAGGCACAAAGAAAGTAAGTTGGTGAAATAATGCAAATTTTCTTTGCATTTGGAATGAAAGAATTTCTTAGAAAAATAGATAAGTCCAAATAAAGATGCTGCTACTAATAATAGACAAGGGTAGACCATTATGTGCAGATTCCTTTTTTTGATTTCAAAAGGATTCAGTGAAAATATCTTCCATCGGATCTAAATCATATCCATCATATCTAGCCATTACATTCATCACGGTTTGTTACATCATATCAATGACCTAAGTTATAATATAATTAAGGTCAATGATTATCAACAATCAACCTTCACATTTTTATATTTCACTTCTCATCTACATCTGAGCAACTCCTTTTAAGTTATCATTATAACAACCTCCTTTCCATTAATTTACAGTTATTTGTCCTTAGGAAAAATGAAGATCAGTTGATATCCAAAGTGTACTTTAGAGATTTTCTCCTTTTTAATTGTCATTACCACGAGGACAAATAAGTGAAAAGGGATGATATGATATTAAGTACACATCGGATCTCAACTGATCTTCATTTTTTGTAATGTCAAATAACTTATTTCACTTCTATGGTATTCATATCTTTTGTCTAAACCCTGCTAGGCTAAACCACCAATTTAAATAAGAATAAGAGTACGTTAGAAAATATAGGCACTCTTATTCTCTAGTTATTTCTTAAATTAATTACTAATCCAATCATTGTAATGTTTTCCCTTCATTCAGATGGTCTGGATGTAGTCTTCAGTTTACCTAAACCCAATTATATGGGTAACCTCCAACCAAAAAGTGTTTTTGAGCTTATATCCACACAAAATTTTGACACTATTACAAGCGATGAGGAATCGATGCAAATTATGTGTAGTCATGTTTGCCCCTTAGGATGCTGGTTGCAAATTGGAGAAGATAATTGTAGTAGACAGGGTAGGGATTGCAACTCAAGATATCTTCTATTGTTAAGCTTGTATTATTGCCTCAAAAAGCTATGTTCAACACTCGCCCACAAGTAGTCATGTGCTCGTGGCACGCGATAGAATGTACTCGTGGAAATCATATATATATTTTATAATTTATTATCTTATTTTGGAATTTATTACATAATTTCAAGGTTTGTGATTAGTATGGAATGCTTTTTACAAGAAGTTTATATTTTTGAAATAATAACAAACATTTTAATGTTTTATGGCTATATCATGTATTCCAGTCTAAGTTTGGTGGCAAAATTCAGATTTCTAAAAAGGATACTCAAAACGAAAGTTGCAAAAAAAGCATCCACTTACTTAATTTAGAATAGCTCCTATCAGCCCTTAATGAACTACGGCGACTAAGGTCAGAGCTGTGTTAAAAATTAAAAAATCGGCTTCTTCAACTACCTTTTTTGCTCGTTCTTTTTTCCATGACTTTGTACGCTTGGTATTTGCAAAAAGTAGTGCATGGTGCGAAAAAGATCCTTAACTAAGGTTTAATATTCTTAGCAAGGCAGATATTTATACTGGACATAGACATGAGGGTTTCTGTTTATCCATTCCAATAGGTAACCAAGCTAATGGTAAGTGGCGCAAAAAGTCAAAATGTAACTATTAAGTTACACCTAAACTTGCACGCAACAAAATAAGTTGTAAGTAAAGAAAGTGTAGGAAATTTTACGTAGAATATTTCCATGAAAAGTAAAATTTTGCCTTAGTTTGATAGTGTTTTTTGATCTAGACAAAAAAAAAAAGTTTTTGTTATAACACAAATTCCAACAAATATTTTTTGGCCATCTTCAGTATTCCGAAAAACAAGAGAGCAAAAATTCTAACTACACTGTATGTTAAGAACAGTCTGTTTAAGCATGTGATGATTCGTGTGCTTTTGGATATTATACTAATCGCACCTAACCTTGCCACAAAATTGTTTTGAGTGAACAAAAAATCTAGCATGCTCAAAAGTTTTCATGGAGAAATAGTCTCCTCACAAGTACAATGTTGAAGATTTGAGTTTTTTCTTTAATAACATCTGTTCTTTAAAGACAGTCTTGAAATACAATTATGCATAATTTTTCGGAAATATGAGTATTTTCCCATAATTTTGCATGAAATTTAGGCAATTTTTAAACTTATTTTCTAAGGAACCGCTTCATTTTATTTTATTTTTATTAATTTTTTTCCCTTCGAATTTTCTTCTCGTATATATCAAAAACAGTCAAAGGGGTGCTAGTCCCATTTCCGTTATTTTCGAAAATGGCAAGAAGTAAACATTGCAACTTCAAATACGAAGATTGAGATTTTAGTCTCAAAAGAAATTTGTTCAAAAAAATCATGTTTTTAAAAATGGTCATGTTCGTTTTCCAGAGAAAAAATGGGTTTTGTGTAATTTCTGTGTTAAGTGAATGCAAATTATAAAAAAAAAAAAATACTACTGTTTGAGATTTTCTCTTTACTTTTTTTCCATGGATAAAACGAGATATGTTAAAAGAATGGTGTACTTCTCGTCGTCATTGAACTCTAAATTTTCGAAATTTGAAAAAATTAGAAACATTGCGAGAAAGTGTGTGATGTTGACCTAGTTTTTTCAGTGAGTCCAGGAACGCTGTGTAACTTGTGAGGAACAGAAGTAACTCTTAGCATACCTTTACGTAGTTTCAATTACCCTGAGAAAAAAAAAATTCCCATTGAAGTGTAAACCCAACTTTCAGTTAAAGAACCCTCCATTCACAGAAAGAAATTATAGCTCTGGGAGTAGTAAGAGTTAGAGATGTCATAAATATGTATTCGAGAATGTATTTTATATGGGAGTGGATTTGGAATTCATGGGACTGCCCTCTGTAAGCAAGAACATTTGGTAAACTCTTGTGGGAGCAGACAGCATCCCTCATAGGTCTATTCACTCCAACAATGTCACTAGATGCACCTGGTGTCGGAAACCATGGACATGCAGCCATGCAGATTGGCAGCAGGTGATCATCAGTGACGAGTCGTTCTTATGCCTTAGTGGTGTTGACCACTGGGTTTGTGTCACAAGTGGCATTGAGGAGCACCATGGAAATTTTGTGGTATCGCATCACACATCCCCTCAGCCAGTTCATTTTGTAAGGAGCGACATACTAAGGTGTCCGTTCATCATTAGTTACTAGCACCGTGATGTGTACGTTTAGGAAGACCCGCAATCGATAGCATTGCCATTTGAGGACACCAACGCGTGTGTCCCTATTGCAACAAGACAGCGCTCGTCCTCGTACTGCTGCTGCCTCCAGAGCGAGCCATGCAGCAGTGGAAATTTACCTACACCAGCTTCATCGCCAGACCTCTCCCCGCTCGACAATAATTGGGAATATTACAAATCGTATGATCAGGATGTGTGATGCCTACCGACCAGTATACAAGAACTGCATAGTCAGATGCAAGTTGCATTGGGTGGTTTATTACCGAACTTCATTCGAGCCATATGATTAGGTGAAAACCAGGATGGTATAAGTGGCATTTAATAAATTCTGAGAAATGTTTAAGTAAGTTAATATTACTGTAAAGTCATGGTGCTTTGTTTCATAATTAAAACCAAGGCATTTCAATTGTTCATTAAAGCAAAATAAACACATTTTCTCAGAATTTTTAAAATGTTACTTATACCATTCAGACTTTCATCCATTCATATGTAACTACATTCTATAATGAATGCATGTTAGCCAACATGGCAGCCAGGCACTTTTCAGACATGTACTATCTGTGACTGGGTATCACAACAAACATTGGACATACAAATGTGAAAATGTCTTGATTTGGTTTGGGTGGTACATTCTACCTGCCTGTTAATAACACTAGAGACCAAAAAAAAAAAAAAAAACCAACATTTTTTTAATACCTCCAGTATGAATGTAGGTGATTTCAAAGGAAACAATCATGCTAGTTTCGAAAATCATTATAAACAGTTTTTATCACGCAGGGTTCAAAAGATATGAACATATTTAGTATTTGAAATAAATCAAATTCAATACAAATTTTCGCATTGTCATTTTGGTTATATTACTACAAAATTTTATGAGCAATCTTCATATAAGGTAAGAACTGGTAATGAATGGAATATGTATATTCGTGCAATAATATCAAAACATCTTGGAAGGAGAAGTTCCTATTGCATTGCTTAAAAATGCTTTGTGCCTCATCACTTAGTGTGTATTCCTGTTTATTCTCTCTGATAAGAAACAATCAATAATCTCCCATCATTGCAGGTTCCTTACACTCCTAGTATCTCTTCTCCATAGCAGCAGTGTCGTGATGAAACTGATCACTGTGTTAATCGATATCGCCCAAGTTCTGTGTGTAAAAATAAGAAAATGAATTATCAGAAACATTCCACAACTCTTAATAGCTTTCTAACCATTCTGTGACCAATGTTTTATAATTGCTTTCTTTCTTGGTCCCGAGAAAGGCATGCACAACTCTCTTAAAGGATTGCCAAGATTCTAACTCAATGTTGTGCAATTTTTCCAGGAGTTTTATAATTTGGGGGCCGATGAAAATTCCTTTCTTCAACTTTGCATTACTCATCCATGGAATTATTTCACTTCTTTGAAACTATATTTTGAAGAATCTTTAAACAATTGCCATTCATATAAATTATAGAGAACACACGATTCACTCATCACTCACCCCTAATGACTGCAAGTTTGGGTATAAATCTTCCACAAATGTAACAGAAATTATCGAATTAATTCACGCACTTTCTATGTGAAATGACTATCTACCCAATCCAATTGAAGAGATCATGTGGCAAATTTCACTTTAATACATTACAGTCCTGTGGATTTTATAATGTATGGGTATTTGAGGCACAGGCAAACTAGACACGGAACTTAATGCACACTGTGGGTTCAGGTTCGGATGTCACTGACTGACTCAGAATCTGCCACCCCAACAGTTGGATACTTAAATTCTTGCAATATGGTAAGGTAAGGGGTTAAAATAATTCCTTACGGTGACGAATATGCCATAGGAAATATAAGGGTGCACGTGACCTTTTTCAAAATATCCACTAAGA